AAACAAACCCAAACAAACCACCAACCAAAAACCAACACGCCACGCAGTCATGGCACAAACCAGCTCTCCTGAAAGGAGCAAGATAGAAACACAAGTGTTGCTACTTACATTCTTGTATTGCTGGTCTTGTTGATAATTACAGATTTTCCAGTCTGATCCACATTGTGATCCATGCCAAAGTAAGCTGCCACTCTGTGCACTAACATCCTCTGATACGATGACATCTGAGGGAACTTTTTATAGTGATTACTGAAAAAAAAAAAAAAACCAAACACACCACAAAACAAGTCGCATTGATAATTACATTTCCCTCTGAGCTATAATTAAACGAAAATAGCAATACATTCGATAATTCAGTGGACAGAACAGAAATCTAATTGAAAACATCTCCTTTGTGCATTTACATATAAACGTTTGCTACAAGAAGGCAGAAAAGAGAAAGGAATTCATTTTAGAACTTCTAATAAGCACATTTCCATGCACTACACTGGAACAAACAAAGCTCATGCTTCATGGTGTCTATTGACTATTCTGTACATTAGGAAGACCTCATCCCCTGACCCTGCACGCACACTCACACTCCCTGCACAAACAACCCTGCAGATTTGCTGAGACACTGGCAACACCTTTCTGCCTTTCTCCCAAAGGCAGGGTGATACTGGAAAGATCTAGTTTGGCAAATACTCCTTTCTTCTCTCTTACTCACAAAATGCTTATTTCCCATCAGCATAATTTCTTCCTCCGCTGCTGTTCTGACTCCCTAATATTTTAAAGCTGCAGAAATATTTTATTATAAAGAGCACATGGTAGCAAGAATCCCTCCACCCAAGTCCAGTTTTATTTTCCAACAAATTAGAATAACATAGCACACAGGGAAATCCATGGGGTAGCATACTTGATCATCCTCTGCACTGAAAGCTTTAATTATATTTCTGGACCTAAAATGAGCGGATCCAGTGCAATTATGACACAACAAAAAGTAGAAGGTTTTCATTCATATCTACTGTATTTTAAGCATTACCACCACGTGTCAGGAAATAAAAGTCTGATCTTGCAGCACACCAGTAACAGCGTTCAGGAGCACTATGGTCCGTATGAGCATATCCCTTGCATAGCTCGCGTTGCTACATGCACACGTGACTTAATAACCAAGCGTGGAACTTGACTTACTTGTTGTCACTAATAAAATCAATAATTTCCTGTTCCATTTTCAAGAGTATCATTCTGTCCCTGTCAAAAAGAAATGCAAGGATTTGTAGCATCAACTACTAAAAGATATTTGAGATGACAAAAAATTAATATATCAATTTTTGGAAGGCAATTTTGCAAGTGTTATCATCCATCTTGATTAAAAATGAAGCATGCTTTGCCCTGAGACATCTGGAGGAGATTGCAGCCTGCTTTGGTGCACCTTCGCTGACATATATGTTGGTTTAGCTCTTCCTCAAGCTCAACTACGGTCTGAGAGTGCTTCCAGCCACACTGGGCTGTGATCAATGCGTTGTATAGAAAGACTCTTACTGCTATGGACAGCTTTGGTCCTTTTTCACTCTTTTTTTTGATGGAAAAATGAGATTTCCAGTTAACCTAGCTCTTTCATGAGAAGAACCAATATCCACAGAAATTTTCAACATTTTGTTTGAGACGTATCTTTCACGAGGCATTGATCTGCAGGTGAGAAGACTGGGCACATCTAATTAGTTAGAGAGCACAATGGAGAACAATGTCTTTGAACAATGGCTCCCAGGAGGCAATGCCACAGCACTTCTCATTTAAAATGCTCTGTTTTCAACTGGAAGGTCTCAGATGTTCCTTTCCACACCCCACCCCCACCAAAAAAAACACATTCAAATATTTCCCCAGCATATTTCTGCACATACATTTTTTTCTAAGCTTGACAGAGTCCATCACTCCTCAGTTCTTTTGAACTTTCTCATTTTGTGCAGATAAAACAACTCGAGGACCTCCCGTCACAAGAGGTTATGCAAGCTGTTAGGTACCAACTATTCCTAGTTCTCTTATAACCGCAGAATTACATTGTACCTATTTAACAGATTCAATTGAAACAAATGTTGAAAGTCACTACACATAAAAATGTTACAGATCCTTAGACATTTAGAGGCAGATCTAATGATGCTTGTTGCTCCAAATGAAAACTATGGGAATACCGAGAGCAGAATTTGGCACTGTGCACAGGATTTTAATTGTGTACAACATTGCCAAATGAAAGCTACTTTATATTCATATATGAATCTCCAACTGCACTGGTTATGACATATTATTCTTAACATCATGTAGAGCTGTATGCACGAAGGTAAGGACAAAGACCAGATGTCGCTGAAAGTGAAATTAAGCAATGGGCAACTGGACAGGGGAGTAGAAGCTGATGATTTTTTATAGCTTTTCGCTCAGTTAACAGCCTACCTCCTTTACATTTTCCCCTCAGAACCATCTCAAGAATTACTAAAACAGAGTGTGCAGTTACAGGAACTTGAAGACCTCCAGCTATAATTTCAGGAGTGTCAGCTCTAATGCTGAAAATACCTACCTGGGGTTATTCTTTAATGTGTTAATGAGAAACTCATGCAAATCTATGCCTGTTGAGTCTGTATACTCTTGACTGCAATCTGAAAAATAAAAACAAACACACGTACACCCCCCATTTATTTCATTTCAACAGTTACAATTAAGCTATGCTATAAATCAAAATCCATTTTCCAGCAACAATCTGAAAGCATATACTCGGAAAGAAAATGTTCATTTGGAGTAAAGCCAAGAAAGATCTATGCTTGGAAGCATCGGCTGCATGTTCTCTGTTCCTCAGTACCATTCTACTGAGAATGCAGCACCAAAACTAGACACCACCAGAAACTGCTGGTTTATTGAAAAACCTTCCATGCCACTCACACCCTGTCAGGTTCTTCCTTTAAACTACTAAATGAAATTGAAAAAGAAAAAAAATAAAAAAGTTTTATTCATCAATGTCTCTTCGCATCACTTAATAAATGCTGTAAACTTGGCAAATGAGGCATCATGCCAGTGGGAATTCTATTTGCATTAACAGACTGAAAACCAGTGACACCGAGAGTGGGTGGGTAATAGGGACGCGTGACAGTAGTCAGAATTAATTTTTCAGCATTGCTACATCGCCTGACTCAAAAGTACACTCAGATCCTCAAGCTGGCGTGAACTGTGAGAGCTTCATTGAAGCCAACTGACAATTCACACCAGCTGCAGATCCACATCCAGGTAGGAAATGATTATTTTTGAGAGATTACTCTGCAACTTTATACCATGGATTAATAAAAAGATTTTTTTTAAAAATACCAGATTTAGATACAAGATCTTTTCTGAAGAAGTCTTAGTGGGTGATAATAGTAGACTGCAAGGCAGCTTAAAGCTCACGGATGACTTCCCTTACTGCATTTAAGATAAATTCTCCATGAAGAGGATTACTCTCTACTGCCTACATTGCACAAGTGACATGCCAATATGTTGTCATTAATGGGGAAAAAAGTGTATTAGAGTCTTACACTTATCTTTGATTTTTAATCACACATATATATACCTATATATGTGTTTATACCAACACAGTTAAGTATTCAGAAGAACGACTTCATGTTAAAGAAAATTACTAACCTCTAATACCAAACCTCAGTTTGAAAGGTTTCTTCACTTTCAAAGACTGATGTTTGTACGCAAAAACACTCTCATGCATACACAGTTTCAGGTTCTGAATTTTATCAATGTATGAAAACACTTCTGCTGTGTTTTTATACACAAATAAGCACATGCTTATAAAAAACACACAATCCTTTTTATAACAGTAACTGCAGCAGTTTAAATATTTTTAAGTTCACCTTTTGATAACATTCTGATCTTGACTTTTTCACTATTTTTATCTTTTTCTTTATTTTTATCCTTCTCTTTTTCTTTCTCGGAGTCATCTTTACTAGATTTATCTTCTTCTTGCAAGCTAGGAAAACTTGAAAGCTGTAGTTGGATTGATTCCTGTTGGGGAAAAAGAGATAGATAAATTTAGGGTGAGATTCAGTAAACTTCCCACGGCTTCCAACCTGCAGAGATTTGCATTAAACTACGTGTCGCTAGAAAAACTGAAGCCAGATACATTTCTTTCCTTTTTGAAAAATGATTTTTTTTTCCCCCAGGAGAAAACTGACATTTTAGAGGCCAAATTCTAGTGGTAAGTGTATTTCTTCCCTAATATTTGAATGCTATAAAGTTTTAGTCTATCTATATTAAAGGCACTATATTATTCTACACTTTAGTAATTCTCACTTGAGACTTATTAGAACAGTGAAATACATCTTATATGGGCTTTCTTAAGTAATTATACAATTTAATTAATACTACACATGTTAAATGATGATCAATGGACAGATGTCTGAAAGATACAACTTTTTTCCCCCCCTCACTAAAAAACCTGCAGGTTCATACGAACTGTTTCGCACATGTAAGCGCAGTATCAGCTAGACTGAGCTTTCAGGCTCTGACAGTAGAAGAGTGACAGCAAATTATAAACACATTCATATATAAGAGGGCTTACTAACTTATCAGACACTTTATATTCAAAGGCAAACATGCCTTTAGCAAAAGGGGTGAAACATGCACTGCGATTTTCAAGCAAGCTAAGGTAAGTAAACTTCTCCTAGGCACCACAAGTCTTATCCTCAAAAATTATTAAACTCAAAAAGAGCAAGCTTCAGATTTAAGAAGTTAATTAAAACTGAGAATTCAAGCTGGTCTTCATTTTCTGGTTTGCTTTAAAGAACTTGTTATTCTTCTCTTACATTACTTTATATTTGCTTTGTTTTAACAGAGCACAAATTGTTTTCTTTTGAAGTCCCCATGGCATAATTTATATGTTTCAAGAAACAGCAATTTGGTTGGACAAAACTGAAGAAAGAATACTTTTGTGTTCATATTCTTTTGAAGAAAAAATGGCCAAAATGATACTATATGCTGAAGTAGTGTGAAAATGCACCCTTTTTTCTTTAATAGAAGAGAGTCCTGCATGCCTGATAATTTTCTGGCATCATGTTAATGAAAGCCAAATTCACCAATACTGGAGAAAATCAGAATTTCCTGAATCCTAGTAAATTCCCTTTCTTCACAATTTTTCAAAGAATACTAGCATACCAAAAGATCAATACAAAATTTTAAAATAAGGGGTGTTTTTTTTTTAAGCAACCAGACCATTATGAATTCAAAAGATGCTTTCAATAGTCATTACAAATTTTAGGATTTTGAATATTTTAAAGAACTACAAATCAGCCAGCACAACACATGTAAGACAAGATCCTAACAGAACAAGGTATCAGCATAAACATGCCACAGTAAGACAGAAATTGGTAATTTCTCAGCTTGATCGTTATTGACTTTTTGTGAAGTTCGAATATGGCACAAAAGACTTGAGATGAAAAGCACTGTAAAAGAGAAACAAAGCCCTAGAGCCAAAATTTAACCTGACCTACTGTCCTTAATTGCTGGTTCTGTTAGTTTTGGCTGACAGTATCAGCCAAAAACTGAGTGTACA